TATTAATAAAATCATTATTATTATTACTTGTAATATTTTTAATTTTATATTAATTTATACAACTAAATTAAAAGTTGTATAAGTACCTGCATGTTACATTATTAACTTTTTCATTATTCGCACAAATCGATAGGCGATTATGACCGAATGAAATTGATATAAAATTTTATAAAGTTATATTATTCAGATTTCAAGTAAATCTATAATTATGTTACAGATGGCAATACTAAATATCTAATCATGTAAATGGCTTTTTGAATTACTTTACTTTTTCATCATTTTGCATTTTAAATTCCGGATCTATGAAAACGTAGTACTTTTGTTCACAATGTTAATCATTGAAGATCTTTTTTTATTAGTTTTAAAATATAGTAATTATGAGCACTTTTACAATAATATATTATTCAATTTACAAAGTAAAAAATTCAATTACATTTGTAAAATTGCGTTATTTTCGTAATGTATTTCATCAATATCTAGTCTTTAGTAGAACATTCGGGATAATTCTTGAACCAGCAAAGGCAAGAAGGCCATGTAGCACGTTGATTGGTCTATACATTAGGACCTTATTCACTATTGGTCGAATACGATTACGTATGTGATCGCACAGTAGAGATTACTCTTCATGCGCGCGTAGAGTGCGCAATACAAGTCTCTGTGAAGGTTGCATCACTACATGTGAAGTTGGGGTACCCACGTCTCTTTGCTGATTTTTGTCAATTTAGACGATATAACATATAAAAATCAAAATGTTAACTGCTGCAAAGTTGTTAACTCGAAGTTGCAGCAGTGTCACCTGCGACATTGCTAGAAAACAACAGTTCAGCACGATTCTTAAAAATGTAAGTATCGATGGCGATTGGCATGCTCGCAACTTACGCCGCATATTCGGCACATATATTACAATGTTAGAATCACTTTTGTTATTCTATATAATATATTATTGATTTCATTAATACGTATCACGTATTTTTCTCTTTTCCTAGATATTAAATGTATCTTTTTGTATAATTCTATAAAGCAATATAAGTCTTATAGCCGGCACGTGATCCACACGATTTATTTTTCACGCTTGAATCTAAATTTTATACAAGATATAGAGATGCATGTGATCTCTATTATATTTCTATTTGTCGTGCATTGATTGTAATTATTAAAAACTTATTTTATGTGTTATCATAATTGTTTTTTTTTTTAACAGTAATTCATGATTCAATTGGGACAACAAATTTCACATTTTATATAATGTGTATATCAGTATTTGAAATATTTAAATATGTTTTAGGTAGCACCTTCTGCCTACATTGTACCTCAACAAGCTACTAATATACATCAATATCGATACAAGTAAATAATACTTTATTCTTAAATTTGTCACATTGTCTATTAAATTCTAGTTTTTTAATATCCATAATTGCATTGACATATCCACATTTCTAATGTAATAAATACTTCAAAATAATTTTTAATATTCTGTTTGTGTAAAGATTGTTTTATAAGATTTACCAACTAAAGAACCACTATAAATTGTTATTTAAAAAAAAGTATTATTTGTTTAGATCGGAAGAAGTAAAAGGTGCAGTTATTGGTATTGATCTTGGAACAACATTCTCATGTGTAGCTGTAATGGAAGGAAAACAAGCTAAGGTTATTGAAAATGCTGAGGGTTCACGAACGACTCCGTCTTATGTTGCATTTACTAAAGGTTAGAAATTATCCACTCGTTATGCCAAAATTGACTTATATGATACATTGTTGAAATGCATTTGATATTTGCTACAACAAACGCCTACTTCATAAAATATAAATAAGAAATTAAGATATAGTGAAGAAGCATTTTTGTTTAAATTTATGCATTAATTTAAGCTTTAGTTACCACCTGCTTCGTAGCTGGATAAGCAAAAAACTAATTCAAGTAATCTACACATATAGACAGTTTACACTAGTGCTAAATTTATATGTATATTTAAATCCATCTTTTCTGAATTGCAATGTCAATGACCACTCATGTTAAACTCCTCTAGTCATATTAATAGTAGACATGATAATGAGCCTATATATTAAAGCGTAGCAAAATTGAATTCCCCACAAAGTATCACTGAACCAAAATGGCTATAATTTTATGTATTTTAGACAAAATTGTATACATCAAATGCAAAACATTTAAAGAATTTTAAAATACTGTTGTATTATTCTAAATTCATTAAAATAATTAGGAACAAAAATAAATGTCTGTGTAGCTCTAGTATATTGCAATTAATTAATAACTTTGATTATTAAGATCCTCAGTCTACTCACCACATAACACAATGTTGATGTTAGGGCTTTGAATATTGAATCACCATTACATTTGCTAGGAGATGTTTGGATGCTCATACATAATTTTGAATTGTGTGCTATTGAGTTATAGGAGCAGTGTGAAATGTTCCAACTGTTTTTAAAATTTATCACACTTTTAATATGGATAAAAATGGATTAGTATGAGAATCTACTTCATACAGTATTGATGTTGGCTTAATGCATGTAATATGTGTTTTAAAATACACACAATAAAAATTTTAAAAACTTTTAGATGGAGAGCGTTTGGTTGGTATGCCAGCTAAACGTCAAGCAGTTACAAATTCATCAAATACATTTTATGCTACGAAACGATTAATTGGACGAAAATTTGAAGATCCAGAAGTGAAAAAAGATATGTACGTATTATTGTCTCTGTAGATCATTGTTAATATTTTCCCATTGTACAGTGAAAAATATCTATAATTTTAGGAAAACTGTGACTTATAAAATTGTTCGAGCTTCCAATGGAGATGCATGGGTACAAGGAGGGGATAGTAAAATGTACTCTCCTAGTCAAATTGGTGCTTTTGTACTTAT